TATACTGAACTATTCTTAGATTAATTAGAAGACTTTGATTAATATCGAATTAATAACAAATAAATATCGATTATACCAATATTAGGCCTATTCCTTTTGTAGTTTATTAAAAAATCGGTATAATATACAAACAATATCATGTTAATATCGGCATACCGATAGGTCTCTGATTAAGCTCAAAATTTCAAAGTTCTATATGGACCCGATATGTCTCTGATTGTTATCTGAAATTTCATCTGCCGATATGTTTTCATTCGACCTGTGATAGAAATGATAAAAATAATTGAAAAAATATATAGACATAAAAAAATATCTCCAAATATTCATCTAAGCCTCCATATATATAAATGTACTTTAGACTACGGATCCTTAAATTCTTTCTGGTATTTTAGTTTTAAACGAATGAATAGATTACTAGGTAAGTAATACATATATGAAAAATTAATAATTTAGCTAATACTTCTATATTCTATCTTTTACTAAATTTGTAAAATAAAATCACATGATATATATAAATTATTATCTACAATCTCAATCTTATACATATATGTATACTTTATCATAAGTCAAATAAAGAAATTTGTAATAAAAAATTTTAATAACTCAAATTTCTTTTTTTAGCTTACAATAGACCTATAACGATAACTCTAAATAATACTATATATATATATATTTATATATTATAGGAAGCTACGAAAATAGTAAATAGAAAATTAAACCGAAACTTATGAATATCATCTAAAGAAATAAACATATCAATAGATTAATTAGTAACAGTAATGATACTTATTTAGTTGAAAGTTTATCTATTTTAGATCTAAAACTATTGGCTAGAAGCTTAAATATTTATGATATATTCAATAAAGAAGCAATAGATTTCATTTCTATGTTTAGATCGGTTGAAGTAGAAATCGGTACTGAGACAGGGTTTGATATATTTTCTGGAATCTTTCTATATCAAAGAAAATGAATGCATACGTATCTTATGACTTTTTGAAGTTATTCATCGAATACTATAATAACGCTTATGAAACTGATATATTTATTCATTCTGTATATTTGGAGTCTGATAGGTTGATAGTTATATCGCCTATTATAAACCAATATGAAAGAATTAAAATAAGTGAGGAAGTATTTAGTTTAACTTTTTTAAAGAAACATGAAAATTCTTCAAGAATATTTACAAAATTTTTAGATGGTGATAATGTGACTATATATTCAGGCCAGGTTCAGTTCTTTTTTGAGCATTATATTGACTACTCAGAAGCATCAATAAAATATAATTTCGCATATGTCTGTTAGTATAAAAAAATAAATGATGAAAATTTAAGATATCATCTTAATATCAGCAAATATGATGACAATCTATTGTAACTATACATGCCACCGAAATAGGTTTTTAAAAAACCTCTATTTCATCTCCATTAGAGCAATTTGAAATTTTTTATATGCAATAACAAATTTAATTTAAGTAGTTATGTTCCTTATAATTTCGTCTCTTCAAAAAAAGTATCAAAAAATTTCGTCTTTTAAGTAAAGTAGGTCAAAAACAATTTCATCTTCAAATTTTAATTTCGTACCTCGAAACCTAAAATAATTTCGTCGGCATGTATAATTGTAACTGAAATATTCAGTTATAGGGTGAGTTTAGGTCTTTATTAGGAGAAATATCAAGATGAAGAGGCATTTTATTTAGATAGTTAAAACTTTGGAGCAGTGAACGATGCCTTTTGTAAAGTCTTTTTATATATGTTTTTATATATTTAAGAGAACTACTTTACTAATTATCTATTTTCTAAACTATTCTTTCTAAAACTCTCCTTGTTACAAATCCGTTTACTATTCTAATAATGCTATGTATAACGATTTATATATAACGAAAATAAAATAACGATTTTATGTAGCAAATAAATAATAAATAAATAAGTAAGAATATTGTTAGTTTGTTGGTATTATATGATCATAATCACGTAATTACATAATTATTATGTTGTACTCTATCAAGCTAATAATTATGTTACACTATGTAATGTAAAATTATGGAATAAAGAATTTTATGAAGTAGATTGTGATTGCATAATTCCTATATATAACATACTGGAAAGATTTGTTGCTGATACTTATACCATTGGTTTACAAAAGCCTCAGAAATATATGTCTGTAATTTCTTTAAATAGAAAATATAATATCTAATTATATAATATATAATTTATATTATATATAATTTAATTATCAGATTATAAATGTGATCTATTACTATTTTAAAATTATATATGATCGGAAATTGATATTTTATATATATTGATATATTTAAGGATTATACGTACGTTAGCTATATACCCAAACTAGTTGGGTGCATATAATCGTTATGATCACATTTAATTTTCACACCCACTTCACGCCCATGATCTTCATAGTAATTTTTCTAAATAAGAAAAAACTGAGGTTAACCCGCCGATCATTAGTGTGGCAGTGCACCTAAATTTTTTATAAATGTTTTTTTTAATCGTTATTTCTCACTAATTGAGCACATATTTGTAAAAAGATAACTTGTAAACCTTTACTGTAACTATCAGGTTACGTATTATTTTGTTTTTTTTGAGAAATACCGATTTTGAATGCTCGCACCATATAACAATAGAAATACTACGTACGTACGGTACTTTGTATCTTTAATTATATTTTTTTATTTTATTTTATACGTAATATTAAAATAAATACAGTCGTCTCTTCATATAATTATATCATATATAATCACTAATTTAATTTATAAAACAAACCTCTATGTAAGTACAACTTCTTTATAAACATATTTTAAAAAAATCTTACTATATGCCCAACTGTGTGATTGTATAGAAGAACTATGTTTGCTAAACTTTAAAAAATACTATGTATTAACTTTAGTCAAATTTACTATATTAGGCCGCTTAGTTATACGTACGTACGTACGTATTTAAAATTAATTTTTTTACGTAGTATACGTAATACTACGTATAATATATATCTGAAATATACAATATTTGTAAATATTACGTACTAAAATATATCTATAGTGTTTTAACCTACGTATGCATATCGTTATACGTATTATTTCAAAAACTGGTTAATTAACGTTAAGCGGTATGAGGTGTTCTAAATAACCTTTCAAAACTTTAATTCTAACTATAAGTACTAACCCTAATATAAAACCACCATAGCGATAGGTGCATTTTATATCATGGCCGTTCACGATTTCATATGCCAAATTAGAGGTTGATCAGTGTTACACGGATTTAGAGAAGCACCAATAATAAATCAGGTTTGGATGCATGTGATCACGTATTATTGCGTTCGATCTGCTCGTTAAGATTATCCAATAATTCGACGCCCCTTATATTGACATTTTTGGTCTGACCGATGCGTTTTATAACGGGAGTGACGTGAATGTCGATTCGTTGCTAGTTCTAATTCAAATAAGCTGTTGATTGTGTTCTTTGCTCATTCAATAAAATAAAATGGGAAGAACTAGTCGTAAAATCGAAGAATTTGAACCAACATACGCGGTAAATATGACAACTAAGTTCTTGTTTATACATTTCAGTCGACTGCTGTTAAAGTGTTTCCAATTCAATAAAAAAAAGGTGGGAGAAGCCTATGAAAAAGAGAGGCTAGAACGTATAGAACAGAATAGGGCCTTACTAGCAAAGCTCGGCCTTATTAATTTTAGCCTTTCACCTCCTAAACCTAAAAGACCACCTAAACGCCAAATTGACACAGAAGAATCTCAACAGGAAGAACATGTTCGAACACCTTCGCGTAAGAGTCCGAGAATACAGCAAATGGTATGTTAATTGTTATAATCACAAAATCAACTGGTGGTTAAGTAAAATATAACTAATATAAATTAATAGAAACCCAGGTATAATTTACGCGTCAAAAGTTATCAACCCATTTATGCTCCATCCCCTTTACGACGTGTCGTTCGTGCTAAGGTTTCAAAAACCTCAAAGGTAAAGCTTAAAATAATAAAGAAGATCATGCATTATGGAAACTAATTATGTTTCTCTCGTAATTATATCACGTGATAAGACCAAATATAAAGTGTTAGGAAGAAATAATCAAGGACGTAGATTTTATGGCGGCAGAATCTATGATTCAGAAATAGGAACAACCTGTCATCAATGTAGACAAAAAACCATCGAAGAAAAAGTACAATGCACGGTAAGGTTGCGAAATACGATGGACTCAACAAAGATAACACGTATTCATATCTCGATTACTTTAAAGAATGTATTAGAAAACGGAATGCTCTGTAAAGTGATGATGGACGAACGATGTTTAATTGGAAGGTAATATTTATTGTATTTCCTTTTGAAAATATTCAACATAAAATTTATTTGTTTTTTATAAAGATATGGCGAAACGTTGGAAGAAGCACGAAGTTCTGGAGAATGGAATTGTCCGAAATGCCGAGGAGTCTGTAATTGTTCATTTTGTAGAAGAAAAAAAGGGCTCCCTGCAACAGGGATTTTGAAACACCTCGCTTTGGCAAAAGGATACAATTCAGTTATGGAGTATTTAGGCGATGCGTAGTATACGTATTTGTTAAATGAAGTATATCGATATTTAACCATCATGTGTCACGTGATATTGGCTTTAAAATTTAAAAATAAAAATAAAATTGTGAAAGTTTGTCATAAACAATAATTCTGGCCTAAATTATAGCTTTTTGGCCAACACTAAGCGATTTTCGCGATTTTCTGATAAACGATTCTCGTAATATATAAAACCCTTGAAATGTTCGAGTAATAAACATAAATAATTACATGGACAAAGATTGGTTGTTTGCTGATCTCCCTGACGATTCAGAAGACTCAGACAAGGAGTTTGTTCTTGGAGATAAAGACTATGTGGATGACAATAGCGATACTTCTGAAGAATATGGTTCTGAAAGTAAATAAGTTCTTTTTTTGTGTATCTACTCTTTAAGTCACCATTGACATTAACAGACCTTGGTTTATAGATAGTGATGCGTCCGTTGATCTCAACGGTCAAGAGTCAACGACAAATGACGATACTTGCAATTCGTCACAATTTACCAACAGTACAGATCATAGGTCTACTCGAGTTAATGGTTTGAATAACGGGCATAATCAAATTTCGAACGGCAGAAAGTCAAATTCTCACCTGCTAAATGATATACTTCAGTCTAACTTTGATGTATATAACTTATAATTTTTCATAAAAACATTGTAATTCATGATGAAATAAAGTAGATTGTCTATTTTTTCATCTCTTAGTCTTGTCCACCTCCTATACCGAATTCTCAAGTTTTTGCACTCGGTAAGAGATCATTTTCAAATTATTAGTTTCTGTCTTTAGTCGTATATTATTAACTGAGATTATAATCATCTGGCCTCTTTTATAATTATTATTAGATAATGAATTGCAGAAATTAGATGTGCCATTTCCAATTTTCTCGGAACAATTTACACAGTTTCATGAAGGTAAAATAATCAAATTTTAGAGTTTCTTCTTGTGACTTCTCCAATTCTTTGTACCTTTTATCATTTCCTTGTTTTCATATCAACTTTGATGCCATACAATACAAAGAACAAGAAATGGAATTGAAATCCCTTGCCATCACTGATCGTCAGCTCACAGAAAAACAAGCGGTGGCAGGATCACAAGTTCAAAGTTCTAAAGCTCTGTCAGAGGCTAAAAAAATGGAGCATAAAGATATTACTGATCTTAATAGAGATTTAAGAGACCAAGCTGAGTCAATTCACAAAGTACTTTTGCCGATTTTCAATAGATTACTAAACAAGGATGAAGATCAATTGGATGCAGTCAACATTGGTCCTTTTTTACTAGAATTTGCTCGAAGACTAGAGATGGTAAAGTTGACTTAGATTTTGGTTTGGTTTTAAAACCTTTAGGATTCAAATTGAAAACCTAAGAACCGGCTTTTTATATAAGTTCCAAACCTAAGTTTAACCTGATTTGGTTCAGATTCAAATTTAAAACTCGATTCCCAGTATTTTGTATGACATAAGAATAAAAATGTGTAATAAAAATATCCTGAGCTGTTGGAGATTAGCGGAAACGAAGTTTCTGCTTGTACATATATGGATCTGGGTATTTTGCTAAATACCCCGTGATCTTGATATATTGATCGGGGTATTTTAATAAAATTTCTTAATTCATATCAAACTTTTAGGATATATCAGATATATATTGATCTTCTGAATAACTAATATGTTTTTTAACATTTATAACGATAAGGTAAAGGGGAGTGATGTGATGGGGCGGGTAGAGTTGCAGATCGCATAATATCGAGGTCTATCAAATATTTTAATGACATACTATTCAATTTGTCTCACCAAGATAAATCGAAGGACATTTGTTTCTAATCAATTGGATTACCTTTGTTTCTAGTCATCGGATTACCTTTTTATTCATATAGATTATAGACTTTTCATAATAAAATTACTACATCATTTTCGTAATGTTTTTTTTTTTTATTAAGTATATAGTGTGTAACAATTATTGAATTTTGCGTAATAATGCTAAATGTCAATATTTTTTATTATACTCATTCTTACTAAAAAAATTATTGCATAATTTGTGTAATATATATTTTTTTCTTTGACGTTAGTAAAAATCTATACAGAGGGTTTGTTCATCGTTAATAATAATCATATCAAATTTTTACTTTTTAAGAAGACCGATAGGTGAATAAAGAGAATACCTTTAAGAAACTTATTAACGTGAACCCATACTTTATAAAGTTAGTAACTCTGAATAAACCTTACTATCGTTAACAAGGGTTTCGACATGAATGGGCTAGGAGTTTTAATTAGTACAGTACGTACTGTACTGTAAATCATACAATGGGGATTTTTTTTAAAAAAAATCCTACGTACGTACATGTCCATTAAAACACCGAATCCCATATCATTATTAAAAATTTTTTATTGAGGTTGAATCAATCAATATTAGAATTTTTTTTTTATTAAAAATATTTTTTTAAATCCGGGTCGCCGATTACAACTAATCGATTAGTTGCAACTTGTTGATTAATCGATTAATTGCACCAACTAATCGATTGACCATAAACGCGATCTGCGTCTAGGTACCGCAGCAATTTGTGAGCCGAATTTTGTAACAAACTGGGCGTTTTTAAGTAGTCTTTAGTCAATCAAAATAAAGTTATACGTAGAAAATTTGGTTTTCGATAACTATAATTAATAGAGGTTTTATTAGTTTTTGAGACCGGTTAAGAACACTTCGGTCCCATCAAATTATCCAAACTAATACATAAACTGAAAGACTTCTATTAAATATGTTTATAGAAAAATAAATTTTCTACAACTTTATTTATTAGCAGTAGTTTAAAATGCAATTTTTTTTTTATATATAAAACTTGGCTCGCAATTGCTGCGGGACCGATTAACATCACTATCTGCGGCTTATTTTTGGCAAATGAAATTTAGTGCAACGCATATCATTACAGGAATGTATAAATTTAAAAGCGATAGTCAAATCTGAGAACTATAACCGATAATGCTTGGACAAAAAAAACCACGATATAAACATGAAAAAGGAAGGCATTGTGATTTTAAATTTGTTCCAGAATCTCCGTGCAAGTTAGTTGATTTTCTTGGGGGTGTTAATTATACACCTTCCCAAGATAATAGGGAAATTTTTAATCGTTCCGTAGGTTTCTTCCGGAAAATATTGACAGAAATAGAAATGGAAAAGAGATGGGAACATTTTAAATTTTTCATCATTCAAGATTATAAAGATGGCGACGGAGGATTTTCGGTGGGGATCTCTCGCACGGAGAGTTGGAGACATCCACCGAGAAAAAGATTAAATTGCCTTTCATGTGATTCAGAATCAGAAACAAATAAGGTTTCAAGAATTGATTTTCCATCAACCGCAAATGATGATTCTAAAAAACTTTGCAATATTTGGTTTGACGCAAAAGCAAGGCCAATGTTTATAATAACACCTGTTCGGCATGTTGAGAGGCTTTCTGAGTGTACTGATGATGAAATATTTTCAATATTTCATCTTGCAACGCAAATAATTGACGAAGAGATGAAAGTTTCTAAAGCGCCGTGGGAAGGTGTGAGGTTTCTTCGAATGATATTAAATCATGGCAATTCGAGAAACATTGAACATTTACATCTCAAAGTCACATTAAGACATCAAGATTTTAAGTATTTTAAAGATAATGGATGGGATGGTGTAAAGAAACAAAATTTTAGAATATTGGAAGGTGGTTTATATAAAAGAGATGAAAGATTGCAGCAAATAACATAATCTCACCTTTTAAAATTACCTAAAGATGTATAGATTATTTTTTTGAATCATCAATGCATACAACAAAGGATAACTGTGCTATCAAAGAAGTCTAGGCAACTAGGAAATAGAAGCCGTTGAGATTCGGAACCTAATACTTAGCATTTAAATTTTTTTTTTTTTAACTTTTGGGGTCTTGGCCTTTAAAATTACGTAATGGGACATATGTTCCATAACGTGATTTTCAAAGCAAAGACCCCTTTTTATTTTTTCCCAGTACGTAATATCAATTTTATATAAATTCTTTAACCAGTTTCCTCTGATATCAACCCCGCATTGACTGAACAAAATACCTACCTAGTTCTATGGGGTTGACATTAACGAGGGATGGCTGAATTTTATTTTCGTGTGAAGATTAAAGTGCATTTGACACTAATTAGTTGGTGTTACGAAATTTTTTGTAATATCGATATATTTTATTATTATATTTTTCTGATATAGTAACAGCAGTTATTACGTATTTTATGCAATAATTTTCCTTTTAATTAAAAGTAGTTAATTTTTTCGTCACCATTGCTACATTTTAGAAATTATTGCTGAATTTTACGTAATAAATTTCTTTTTAGTGATAGTAAAAGTTCTATATAAAGGGCTGCTTGTCGCTAAATAATTGGAAGGCATTCTTTACCTTTTTCTCTCTAATAAACTAATCGACACAATAAAGTCGCATGTACAACGCTCGCTTCCTTTGCTTTAACCATTTTAATGTTTACGATTCGTGTTAAGTCCAGCCATAACGATATTAGTTCTCCCGGAATCGTAACTTTGAGACGTTGATTTGTTGTTTTTAGTTTTTGCAAGAGATATGAAACACTTTTTTATTAAGAAAATGTATGGGCTACCTATTCTTGAATATCATGGTTGGGACAGTATTATATGTTACGAATTGACCGTTACTCTTGATTATATAGATCAGATTTTCTTTTAAATATTGAGTTGGAAGTTCTTGAATATTTCGCTTGGGTCTATTTACACTATAAATCGGATTTTTAATATATTTTGATATTCGTAATGATTTTTCAAATTTGTTTTATTTTCTCTTTAGTTATTGTATTATAACTTTCAAATGTTTGATTAAAAGTCTTTATAAAATTATTACAAAAAAATTGTTAACCTGTGATCTTTCAATTGGTATATAAAATGCATAACATTACCATCAATTGATCTTTTTTTTTTTTAACTAGTTTTTTTTTCTTTTTGAATTTATTCTAACCTTACCTAGTTTTTTAATCCAAAATAAATTGTTGTAAGGGGGAACTTGTCATTTTTAAATTTTACACACTATAACAAAAAAAAAAAGTTTAAATACAGTAAATTTATATGAATAAAGTATTCATTATGGTTCATTTGTAAAACTTTATTCATGTCAATTTTGAAGTTGCCCAACGGAATCTTGATTTATTCCGTGACCTTCGAAGAGGATAATTGATTGCATTATGTACTGTATATAGTCAAAAAAATAAGTAATCGAATATTTGTTTGTTCATTTTTTTTATTATTCGAATATTTACTGAATATTCATTAAATATATAATATTTAAGGCCATACAAATTTATCATATGCTTCGATTTTTGGAATTTGAATGTTTTTTAGGGATTGCTTTTTTTTAATTTTAAAAGCAAATAACCTTTAATTTACAAGTTTTTAAAAAATAATTTTATTATTATCATATTTACCTCTTTAATACGATTCTAAAAAGTCCAAAATCATCCAAATCCAATCACAGGATCAAGAGATAAAGCTCGGTCAAATAAGGACACATCTCATATGTTGGACAATTGGTTAGACTAGGTCTAACCAATTGTCCGACATATGAGGTGTGTCCTTATTTGACCGAGCTTTATCTCTTGATCCTGTGATTGGATTTGGATGATTTTGGACTTCTTGTAAATTAAAAGTTATTTGCTTTTAAAATTTTTAAAAAAAACAAACCCTAAAAAACCCTAATTCAAATTCCAAAAATCGGAGCATATGTAGTTTTGGTTTTCATATCCCGGCCGGGTCAGCAAAGCAACCCACCTAGTATCGCCACCAAAATCACGTACGTAATCGCTTCTTAAATTTCAATCTGAGTTTAACATAAGAATAGCAGAATTACGAGGTTTACATAACAAGATTTTCGAAAAAATAATTTATTCAAATAATTTATTCAAATTATTTATTCAAATTTTATTTATTCAAATAATTTATTCAAATTATTTTATTCAAATTTTTTATTCGAATTATTTATTCAAATTATTTATTCGAACTATTTATTCAAATTATTTATTCAAATTGTTCATTCAAGAATTTATTTAATAAATTCAAACCGTCATTCAAATTTGAATTTTTAAAATGTATCGCATCTAAATTCAAAATTTTTTAATACACGTATAAAGCTTTAAGTCTAAATTAATACTACCAGTAAAAGGTGTTATTACATCCACTTCAAGTTTTCGGAAGCTTTTTTGCTCGCTCGAAATATTTAATATCGTCTACCATTTTTTGAATAAGTGAAAGTTCGATTCAATACTTCGAAGCCATTTATTTTGTTTTGGAAGATTATTAGACTTTTCAAGAACAATTGAGTGCCTAAAACATAATATTAGTAAAATACAATAATTTCCGGAGATACAAATAGCACCCAAAGATTCCTATAATGTTCAATTCGTGGCTCTCTATCGCTGTTAATTTTCATCATTTTTAAAGCTCACAGTAACAGTTGCACCAATAGATAAATGAAATGGAATTGACTTGTTTATTACGATAGTTTTATGGTGAACATATAAATAGCTGTCTCTTTTTCATAGAACGTTACGATCTCAAGTGTTACGTACTTGCCAAAAAATTCATTGCTATCATTTTTTTTTTTAATTCGTTAATCATTTGAGAAACATCCACATCTATCTCAAGACCCATATGCGTAATGCTTTCTCCATCAATATCTGTAAGTTTATCATACACCGTATGTTCAAGCCTTTCAGATTATATGACAATTTCTTTTTCCTTGCAAATATTGTTTAAAGTTTGATCTTCACGCATCCTTTTTCTGCTTATATTTATGAGGGCAAACACTCAAAGCATGTTTTTTGATTATTGAAATGCAAAATGTGTTTCATAATTCGACAGAACAAACAACGATGCGTAAAATGCTTATTTTACATTTTAGCAAATTACGGTAAAATTAAAGAAATAAAAATTTAATTATTTTATTATTGTACGCATTACTAATCAAATATTATCATTATCGTTATTGTCATCATATTTCATATTATTAAAATATCGGTAATAAAATTTAAGCTCCGTATGGCGTAAATGATTTTGGTGGCACCACTAGGTGGGCCAGGATAGACTGTGTACTGGTACTGCATTTAAAAAATATTTACCTTTAGATTGTATTAATATTTGGGATCTTTGCTAGGAAAATCACTCTCCGACATTTTCCGATCAGGCCAATTCGGAACATTTTAAACCAACATACCGGTACTTATGACATGCAAATCATTTTTTGCGAATGAAATTTAAATCGATAAAGGCAAAAAATGATATACATGCAAATAAGTACCGGTATATTGGTTCGAATTTGTCCGAATTAGCTCGATCGGAAAATGAAGGGTGATTTTCCTAGAAAAGCTCCCATTTATCAGTTAAAAAAAAACAATCACGTATATTTTGTGTTACAGATTAATGTTTACGTATAGTATCAAATTTATATTTATTTGACCAGAATAAACAGCAGCAATTTTTTAGTTTGAAATAGAGAATCATTGAATTACGGTGCATGAAAAAATTCTGTGCCAGGTTTTGTTGATCATTGTGACGCAGATCTCTAAACTACAAATCATATTTCATGAATCAGATGTAATGTAACACGATCTGGAAATTTCAAAATCTGCATAAAAAACCACTTTTAGTGCTCTAACAAAAAGTTTCCTTGAGCTATTTTATATACAATTTCCTAATCTCAAATTTTGTTCTAAACGCTAACCCCAACGTTTTGAGCTTTAAAAATATTGATTGCGTCCAATGATCGACAAAACCTGGCACAGAATTTTTTCATACAATTACGTTATGTTTGCATAGGAATTAAAAAAAGCATAACATCAAGCAATGCCGTAAATTTCAAAAAAAAATATAGATAATTACATTATTTTAAAAATCGCGATAACATCTAGATATACAAAAAGTAATGATGATTCTACATACGAGAACTCAAAATATTCAACTTGCATCACTTTATCGCTGTTCGCAAAAATGATGTATTTTAGTTGTTTTTGAGAATACGAATGTTATTTTGAGGATATGGACAAACATCTTACAAACATCAATAAGTTACGGATAATGCTAAACTGCATTGCACACCAATCATGACGATAAAAATAATATAACAAAAAATTCCTTTTGATAAATTATGTAAAAATATGTAATTTTGTAGATACCAATTTTTTATCCACGCTTAATTGTTTCAGTTTTACAATTTTCAGTTTTATTGATTTCTAAAAACATTTAAGTTGATTATATATTGAACAAATTCTGTTTATAAAAAGTCCAGACTAAATAAGTACTTGTTATTGGTTATGTTGCAGACGATAACTGATTTATTGTTGGGATATAATGCGGAGCACGTGCCGCT